CATTTTGATCAAAATTTCGCGGGCTAAAATTGTGACTTATTTAGAAAAAGTTTTGGAGATTTTTCGAGGTTTCTGGAAAACCAGTTTTCCAGAGACGGACTAGAAAACGCCTGCGGGGGAAAACGGCCATCATATTCGGCATTAGCATGGTCGATTACCTATTGTCCACTAGGTTTTAAGCCAAAAGCGATGGGGCAGTTGGTGGCCTTCCCTCGTAAGAAGGAAGATTTTGCTCTATTAACTCTAAAATACCTGTTTTGTCTCGAGATGTACGAAAAAATTCTTTGGTGGTGTGATTAGAAAGCGAAAAAATTTTTTTAATTTCCGTTGGAAGAAAATGATAAATTTTTATTTTTGGGGGTTGTCATTTTTTCTCTCCATTCTCTATGAATGCTGTAGTTGTTTCTTTATTTGTGAAGAATCTGCGAAAAAACTTGTAATACAGAACATTGTACAATTGCATAAGCCATGTTTAACCTTGTTTCATATGGAGAGAATATATTGATAATATTAAATTGTACAGCAGATATAATCTGCTGCACAGGTTACGTATGATATATCATGCGTAACTTAAGGAAATATAAAATAAAGTTGTTAGTGACGTACAAACAACAAACAGATACTGGCTTCAATTTATTAATTTGCTCTTCACAATGTTACTCGTATCAACAATTTTCTTATTTTCAGTTATTTTTCTAATCAATGGTCAAGAGCTATCTTATCCACTTTACGCACGCGTCAATGTACATTTAAGTGATAGTAAAACATCAATTGGTACACTTTATTTTATTCAAGGACAGCGATCGAGTCCTGTTATTATTCGTGGAAATTTGGCTGGTTTGATTCCAAACACAACATATCATGGCTTTCATGTTCATACATCGAAAGTTGATGATCAACGTCCAAACTGTACAGCAGCTAACGCACATTTTAATCCGTTCAATCGAACACATGGTGCACCTGTTTCAACAATTGATCACCGGCACGCTGGAGACTTAGGTAATCTATCTCATTCTTTTCTTACAAACGTTTCATAAAAGTTTATTTAGGTAACATTTATGCAGATGGATCTGGAAAAGCAGCAATATTCATAGCTGATACAATAATTCGGTTAAATAGACCTACTGGACAACGATCAATATTAAATCGTACGATAATTGTACACAAAGATATCGATGATTTAGGTCTAGGTGGACAAAATGATTCATTAACTACAGGCCATGCTGGTGCACGATTAGCATGTGGCCACATTTTTTCAACAACAATGACCGAAAACCAAGCATTTAAAACGTTTTTATTCTGAAATTTGTTTCTGCTTGTCGAAAAATGAAGAAATTGACATTTTTGTGAGAAGTTTCAGCTTCTCGAAAATTAATTGTTTTTTTATTCTCGCAATTTTAATTTTGATCATATAATTGAAGGTTTATCAGTTTGCCATTGTTTTGTTCGATATTCTAGTACCCACTTTCACTTTTGCCGTTATCAAACTGATTCTTTAGTCAAGAAAATAAAACACTATGAAATAAAGCTATTTTAACTCAGTTTGAATTCTGTAGCAGCTTTCACATTCTTTCTTACCATCTAAATAATCAATATTCTACAGTTCGGAGAAAACGTGACATCTGTTTTCGTAGATTTCAAAAACTCTTTTCGCCGTCGTTATTGAGTGGTTATAAAAAATTACTTAATAAAGTCGCATACAAATTATGTAAATCTAAACGCATTCATTTAACAATTTAAAAGTCCTCAAAAATTTTGAAACGGAATAAGTCTTGTTCGTTCGAGCGGAAACAATCTACCGGTAAATTTATTTAAAAAGGAGAATAATATTGTTGCATCAACTGACTCCTCTAAAGCACACATGTTTAATGTGTATTTTTCTGAATGTTTCATTCCTAAGGAAGGGCCTTGTCCGCATCTATCGTCAGTCATAAACGACACGTTTGTTAGTAATCCACCAAGGTAACAAGTTATTTTAGATGGTATAAAAAATTTAAGGGAAAATACAGCACTGGGAACTGATACACCCTGCCACTAAATAAACGGAACACCTACATCTATCTTGTTTTAAACGCTTTTTCTCAACAAATTTGACTATATTTTTATTTTTTAGTATAAATATGAAACGAAATTTGAGAGATGCAGTTATTCAGGCGCATGAATTGGGACGAGGTCAGCGAGAAATAGCGCGATTTCTTAGTATACCACTCACAACCGTAAACCGCGATATTAAGCGATATGAAGAAAGAGGAAGCAACGAAGACCGACCGGGTAGGGGATGGAGGCCATTTTGAATAAATCTTTTTATTTATTGTTGTTTCTGTTGTTTTGCTAGGTTTTGAATAAAAATTTGTAGAGAAAAAGCGTTTAAAACAAGATAGATGTAGGTGTTCCGTTTATTTAGTGGCACCCTGTAATATATATACTGGTTTCTTTCTTACAAAAATGTGCTCCATTTTTAATTGATTAAATTGAACATTTATTTTCGCTTTCGGTCAAAAACGGCATTTATCCATCTACGTGGATACTTGCTACTATATTCTCGTACATAAGAAGCGTCTCAGAGCTATTGTAGATAATTATAGACCAGTACCTCTGTTAAGTATACTCAGTAAGCTGCTTGAACGTTTTATACATGAACAACTGCCCGCTTATTTATCTAAACATAAAACTTTTTTTCTAAGTCACAAGTCGATTTTCGTTCTCAATCATCAACCGTTGACACGCTTCTATCCATCACACACTCAATTTACACAAATTTAGAAGAGGGAATTGATCACTATTCTTGTACAATTTGACTTCGAGAAAGCTTTCGATCGCGTTCCCCATCAGAGGCAGTTAAATCTCATTTAAGGCAGTTAAATTAAATAAAAATTTAATTAAAAAAAAATAAAATTAATAAATGTTCTTGGTTACTCTTTACTCATAAGCCTCAAACACACAAATTTTACCCTATTAGTGAACGGCTCGTTTATTTATCGAGAGTACTCTACTGTGTTACTCGATCTCCGTTTATCTTCTAATTTACATTGGGGAGATCATATTAAGAATCTTATTTTGGCTTGTCATAGAAGGTTAGATGCCATGTACCGAAGTTATAAAGATGCACCGGCCTTGCTGAGATTAACTGTTTCAAGGCATGCATTCTAAGTAAATTAGACTATTGTTCGGTTGTTTACGACACTAAATTTCCTCATCATGATTCTCGCAGTGACTCTGTTGTTAAATTGGCTGCACGAATTGCGTTTAAGAAGTTTGATGGCTCTGTTTCTGAATTAATATAGAAATTAAGTTTACCAGATTTATATAAAAGACAAATACTTCAGATTACTTCATTTTTATAAGATACTCAACAATCATTCCATTGTTTTGGATCTCAATCTTATTCAATATAATAACAACAGGCATTCTGGCAGCCTAAATCATTCTAGAGCAGTTGCAGTGGCAGATATTTTTAAGACCACCCTGTATTGCTTTTTTCACAGAACGGCAATTGAGTGGAATGGCTTACCAGAGCGCGTTGTTACAACTAACAGCGTAAGTTTGTTAAAGCATAGGCTAAAGTTCTTAGAGCTTTAATACTTTCTCTTTCTCTCGTTCTTTTTGTTTGTTTTCTTTGCCGAAATTAGAAGGGTCACAGTCTAATAAGAGCAGTATGAGCTTTTTCTGTTTTTTCCCCGCCAACTACCTCTTTTGATTTTAGTTTATTGTATTGGTTCGTTTTACTTTGTTGTTGTCAAATAAATGTGTAAGTCTAAGATCTCGCAACACCCATCATTGCAGACAGGGGACATTGAGTTCAGCGATGATGTGATCGTACAGCATTAATTCTTCCGATATGTACAAACGAGTTTGTTCCACTCGAATAAAATCTGCGTTAAAAATGCCTATCGCTCGAACACATTTTTTTGGTCTCTCAGGCAAACAGTTCTCTTCGAAAACAGAGCAGAAAAGATGTATTCTTTTAGATTCTCGAAGGAGACCAATAGAGAATTTGTGTGCTGATAAAATTCTCTTTCTCCTTCTTTATTTTCTACATAACAATTTTAAGGTCGACAGTTGACACTTAACTGTTTTCATGGCGTCATCAACAACAAACAAGAGAGCACCATGTGCCTCGTGTACTGGTACGAAAGCACAGGCATTTTTACATGTGGAGGATGTTCGAAAGCATTTTACATGCGCCACACCACCGAACACAGACAAGCTCTTGCCAGACAAATGGATGAACTTGTTCACTATCATGATCAGTTCAAAGAAACGCTTTTGAAGCAAACAGCTCAGCCTCACTGTCAGTCTCTCATAGTAACAATCGATGAGTGGGAGCGAGTGTCCATCGCCAAAATTCGACATGCTGCTGACAATGCTCGACAACAACTAGTGGTAGTAGTTGAGAAGCATACCAAAGAACTCTCGGAAGTATTGAAAGAATTGAACGACCAGCTGAACAAGGCTAAAACTGACGAGGATTTTGTCGAGACAGATTTGAAACAATGGTCAGACCAGCTCAACGCACTCAAGGCACAACTCGTAACTCCGCAGACTATTGAGATTCGAGAGCAGAAGCAAACGAACATTCCGTTCATTTTCATTTCGAACCTTTCCATTCACGTGGATGATGTGTTCGAAACTGTTGCTGGTAATCTAGCAATCAAAGATAATGGTCAAGTTGTTGTGCATGATCTATCATCTGCGTACGCATTAGTAAGAGGAAGAAGCGAGTACAGGCCGGGTAAGCATCGATTACGGTTCTGCATTGAGTCATACTGCTCGTCCAAATGGATTTTCTTCGATATCATCTCTCGCGAGATGAAGATGCAAGCGAACGTGTTCCTAACACCATCAGCCTGTCGATATTGATAAATGTCCTTTTCCTTGGTATTTCCACTTGAATTTGTATTATCCACGAGATCGAGTGCGCACCTGAAAATCAGTGAAACATATCTTAATGATTACTTCTCGCAAAAGAATGTTTAATAGCAGGATTAACTGTTGCAAAATTTAATCAGGATTTCTGTCTTATTGATAATATAAATATAGAAGCATGGAGAGTAAGGTCACACTTTCTAGTGACGAGAGTGTAATTTTGTATATTGTGGATACATACATCGGGATATATATACTTCCAAAGTATTCGTTTTCTTTAACTGATGTCTTTATACGAGCAGACATTTTTCTGTTTTCCGTTCAAACCGAGAAACATCTAAGTGCTTGCTCGTGTGGGCTATTGTTTAATAAAGAATGAAATCAGAAAGGAACAAATTTTATATATGTACACGATACTGATCTTTTTTTTAGAAAAGGATCCCTTTTTTGCTCTTTGAGAACTGTGGCTGTGAATATCGTTGATTATCGTCTAAAAAAGCAAGTGTTCGAGACAAGCAAAGAAATCGCTGCAAGTCGAGGAAGGAAAAAGTTGCTTTTGCAAAAAATGCAGTCGAATAAGGACAGAATTTAAGATTAGACCCACAGTACTCTAAATAGTAGTGAACTACTTATACACAACAACACATACCGGACCCAACACAATTACTGCTTCTTTCGAAAACCCGACTGAAAAACCGACAGGAGTTTGTTTGCCGTCAGATATTCGTATAGTCGTTCGTAGATGACTCTCTCAATTACTTTTGACAGGGCAGGCAACAATGTAATAGGACGGTAATTATTAGGCACTGTACGGTCCGCTTCTTTGAATAATGGCATGACGTAACCCGACTTCATAGAATTAGGAAAGGTAGATGCGAACAGAGAGCTACGACAGATAGAAGCTACATCTTCAGCAATAATTGATGAAGATTCACGCAAAAGACGATTATTGACACCTGATGCGGTTGCTTTATTGATATCTAGATGAGACAAAATATGCTCAATCTTCGCAGAAACATGAAAAGAAAAGAGCGAAGAACTCACATCTGGAAGGAGGTCAATAGGAATAGAGATCAGCCTTTGACATAGTACACACAGAAGCAAAATGTTCATTCAATAACTGAGCCTTTTCCTGATCATCATAAATCAACTGAGAGTTGATGTTTTGGAGAACTGGTAGTGAAGATGTATTAGTTCCACGAATGTTGTGCTTAACGAGTTTCTACCAGTATTTACTCCCACTATTAATTCGGTTTATACGTTGAAAATAGCTTTCTTTTGCGTCGCGGCAAGCCCTATCAAACTGTCTTTGAGCTTCCTTATACCACTGTTTGGAGCTCACAGATGAATTGAGAGTTTTACACTGACTAAAAAGTTTATTTTTACGCCTATACAGCACTCTCAAGACATCCGTGAACCACAGTTGATCTGTGTTTC